TCACTTTTACGTCCAGTTTGAATATATGAAACTTTAAGAGACTTATAATTCGGAACATCGATATATTTTTCAGAAAAAGGTTTCTTTTAGTTTTTAACAAATAGAGCTGTCGATATCAACGCTAAAAGTTAGTAAAATGGATCGGTTTCAATTTAATTTTAGCGATTTCACTGGAGAAAATAAATGTAGAACTTGGGTTTGTCTGACTATCATATTCCGAAAAGTGATCAAGAAAGTTATGTTGGTGATTCCGAAGTGGTGTAATTTCTAAAATTAAAGTGAAATCCATACATTTTACTAACTTTCGCTTCTCTAGAAATTTTTGGTCATATTTTGATATGCCTCGTGAGTTGTCGAACTGCGACGTACTTTTGCCAGTGTCCTTTTATGAGATTTTTAGCTCATTGTCTCAGGTTTGGTAGCTAATTTTTCTAGTTAGAAAGTTAGCAAATTTTGTGCTCTATCGACCTCACTTATTTACAACTTTATGCAGTGTTTCTGATACGTCAACTGGACTCATAATTGGTTCGCAACTGGCTTTTCAGTTTTCTCAAATTAAATTAATATTTTAACCAATAGTTTCTCAATTGAGAAACTTTGCTTATATATCAAATGATACAGAATTTAATTTTGTGTACGATAATAAGACTAGAACCTTGGATTCAGAACGTTTTACTGCTTTTATAGCCAAAAATCTAAAGTCTGCAAAAAAATAAGTTCAAAAGTTAAGTTATTTTGCATAGAAAAATTTTCATAGAAGACTTAACTAAAATATGTGAGAAGATCCAAAATTTTGTGCTGAGTCTTCTGATGTTCTGCAAAATTCTTATGGAATCTGTTTTTTGATCAAGGTAAATACGTTTCTATTTTCAATGTGTCGCAGTTCAACAACTCAACACCATTCGATCAAATGAGAAAAAAGCTATCACAGATTCAAAGAGCAGGTTTTGTAAATAAATCTGAACTATATACGGAATATTCGTTCTCCAATGATGTTCTTCAAAATGTGCAATCGTCGTCTGCTAATGTATTCCTATGTAGCAAATTATTCTTAACCAGACAGTCCATTATTTTCTGATGGGTCATCGTACTATTTTTAATGGGCCAACCCATTATTTTCTCTTCCATGTGTCGCTCATCATGTGCTACTGCGACGCTGATTGTGTTGCCTTACATCCACTCTAATGTTCTTTATAGGTTCTACATTTTGATTGTTGGCTCATTGGAGAATGAATATGTGCTTGTGATGCCAACCGATGAACGGCGCAATTTATTTTGTATGACTTCATCATCTTCTTTATTTTATTTTCATTCATTTCAAAAAATAAGAAAAAAAATTCGGCAGATACCACAGCAAAATACATAAATATGAAATAAAAACAAACAGCTTTATTCTTTGTTTCAAAGACATGGACAGTTACCTGCGAAGTCTACTTTTCAAAAAATAGTGAAAAAACTGATTTTACCTTGAAACGAACACTTCTCAGTGTTTTTCTGTATCTTTTTTCGTTCTAAATATATCTTTTCCTTTCTACGTTCTCTTTTCGTATTTTATCGTGATGAACGAACAGTTTTCGTGATCACAGAGTGAAGAAAAAAACTAATGTATTTTCCGCTAAATATTTCTATTTATCGCAGTAAATTTTACAATTTTTAGATCGTCAAAATGTCAGCGTTATCCGATTTACACTAAAGCGTTTTAAAAGCAACTACGCACCAGCTTAACAGTTTTTCTTCCACTTTTAAAAGAATTTTGAGCAGGCACTTTTAACTATCTACTTATTGTTCTTGTTTTCTGCTCATATCATATTTTGTAATGAATGTCTGCCAGTGTACAAGTATAAATTCAATCCGTTTCAATGTTTTTTGTATTCCATGTCCTGGGATAAACTATTATGAATTATATTAGTAATAGTTTATACAAGCTCGTCGACAATATTTCTTCTTTTCATTCATTTTTTATCCGAAAGAATATTTGTGTTTTCTTTTCATTTTTATTTTTTTTGATTATGCTCTTGTACAAATATTTCTTTTTCATATATGTAATATATTACATATATGAAAAAGAAATATTTGTACAAGAGCATAATCTTTCTAAATATTTGCTGAATACGAAAAACCACTTTTCTTTCACTCTAAACAAACTTTAATTTTTTTTTATCGGTGATATGCGAAATATATATTTCAAAATTCTTGTAGTTTTTTTGGCATTATTCCTGTCTAGAGTTGAATCCGTTCATCGAAGACAGATTTATGGTGGTACAGGTTATATAAAAGATGCGTTTAATATTTACTACAGGGGAAAAAAGGTTGATGCTTTGAGTGTAATGTCATTCAAGGATCTTGGTTATGGTTATGCCAAAGATAGTTGGAATGTCGTTTATGCTGGAAAAAAAGTTGAGGATGCATCGACCATATCATTCCAAGTACTGCAAGACGGTTATGCAAAAGATTCATGGACCGTTTATTACATGGGACAAAAACTGAATGATGCATCGGCAATGAGTTTTAAGTCGTTGGGAAATGGATACGGGAAAGATGCTTGGCACGTCTTCTACTGGGGACAACAAGCCAGCTGAACACAAGTAACTCATTTTTTTAAGAAATGACTGCTTTGAAATAAGTACAGGAATTGCAGTCAGTCATCCACAACATAATTTTGTTAAACGCTTATTTTTTGAAAAAAATAAACATTTATTGGCAAACTTATTGACCTTGTAGCGGGAAATGCCCTTTTCTAGCTATCCAATAAAAACTTATCCAGATAAATCGATCTTGGAAGATCATTACCCTTAAGAATACTCGTTCTGAATATAAACACCGTTTGCGCCAACAGGAAAACGAAAAGTTGAGTTTCTGTTTATATATTATCTTCCGAGTGTTTAACTGATTCAATGTAGACCTTTCTCGAGTTTTTGTTGTAAGTTCTTGTACACTGGAATTAGTCAAAAATATGTCTATTTGGTTGGTTATTTTGTGTCATATTTGCCACTCATATGCATGTTGTTCATTTGTGTTCTACCACCACCCATTTATACAACGGAAAAGAACGAATTTTGGAAAAGAGTGAGAGATGGATGGAGATATTTTATTATTTGAGTGCTTTTATATATGTGTTCATTATGTTTTCGAAATGTACATCGAATAACTCTTGAGTATCTCTGTAGTTTGTTGATCTTTAAATAATGTTTGATATTCTGGTTTTTGTGTTAGTCTTCAATGTTCAATCAACAAACATGTCAGAAAATTCCGAGCAAAAATACATCGATTTTCTTTTTCAATGTTCTATTTCTCTGCTATAAATTTCAATCCAATCTGACATTGGCTTCCCCGGTTTTCGTTGGGGTCGAAAAAGAGAGGAGTATCCTTAAATTATCAGATTAATGAGTTAAATAAAGCAATCCTTGAAGCAGCTGATAAAACAGCTTCGCACAAAATATTCATATTAAACATGGCGACTAGTCACGGTTTACGGATAATCTACCAACATTATTGAGGAATAGAAAAAGAGAATACAGACGGTGTGTGGAACAAAATCATTCCTCCACTCAATAATATAAATAACGAGTTGGTCACGAATAGGACTGAGAAAGCTAATTTATTAAATAACTATTTTCTTCTGTGTGCACTATAAATGGTAATGACGACAATGTAACACAAAAATAAAACAAAACACATTTTAAATTAAGCAGTATAAATATATCTCCGCTTGATATTGAAAAGATTCTATCGAGCTTGTCGTCATCGAGAGCTACAGCTCCTGGTGCGTGGAATAGAGTATTGAAGGAGTGCGCATCCTCTCTCTGTTTTTCTTTGGCGTACCTGTTCAATATATTGTTAAAACATGGATACTTCCCTAAGCATTGGAAGAAAGGGTATATTCAGACAATTTTTAAGTCTGGTGATCACCATCAATGTGAAAATTATCGTCCCATTACTCTACTTAGTGCTATATCTAAGGTACTTGAGCGTATAATTTATAATCATCTTTATGAGTATCTAATCAAAAATGGTTTATTATTCACTTCTCAAGCTAGTTTTACAAAGAAGAATTCTACTATTCTTCAACTTATTGACATAATACATCGTATAGCAACAGGATTTGAGTGTCAGAAGAGGACTCGAGCTGTTTTTTGGGATATGTCTAAAGCGTTCGATAAAGTGTGGATAAAAGGATTGTTATATAAGTTAGATTGTAAAGGCCTTTCTGGACCATTGTATAAATGATTTGAATCTTACTTAACAGATCGCTTTATATGTACAATAGTTGACAGTTGTTTTTCTAACCTTAAGCGAATAAATTCTGGAGTGCTCCAAGCAGGCGTATTGGCCCCGTTATTGTTTTTGATATATATTGATGACATAGGTTGTCTGAATGGTATACAAAATATTCAGTCAGAAATCCGTTTGTTTGCGGATGATGTATCGCTATTCCATGTGCATGACGATCCAGTTAAAGCGGGTGAAATAATAAATAATGATTTAAAATATATACACAAATGGTGTATTGCATAGAAAATGAAGTTAAACAGTAAGAAATGTAAATCCATGACATTCTCTTTCTTTGTAATCAACCACAATCATAGAATACTTGTTGATGGTGTATCAATAGATGAAGTTACACAACATAAGCACCTCGGTATGATATTATCATATAATCTCTCATGGTCACCACATATTGAAAACATCATTGTTAAATGTAATAAAATCTTGAATATGCTACGTTTCGCCAGAAATATACTCTCCTTACATGTATTAAATACGTTGTATAAAACACTGATCTTAACAGTTATCTGCTATGGTGATGTAATTTATTCTTCCCACTTAACAGCTAGAGATTGTCAAAAATTAATTTCCTTTCAGTACAAAGCAGTATGTATTGTTAGCGGTGCAATACGAGGCTCCAAACGAGAAAATGTTTTAAAACGTCTTGGCTGATCTATGTTTTTTATTCACAGATTGATATTGTTTCATAAAATTGTGTATGGACATGCTGGTTTACTATTGAGAAGTTTTCTTGATTATAATTCATCTAACACACGCTCAAACAATAACTTAGTTTTGAAGGAAATATATAAAAAGGATATCTCAAAAAACACATTTTTACCCGTATCTGTGAGAGAATGGAATTCCAAGAAAATGGATACTTTTAGGAACATCTTTTCGGTAAAAAAGTTTAGAAAAGAGATAATTTAACAACTATTCGCTTACTTACTTCAAGAGACCATTAATTGAGCGCAAGTATGAAAAGTTAATGTTTCAATTTTTGGTGGATTTCCCTTCGTTAAATACTAAACTGTACACTCTTAATCTAGCTTTCAGTGGGAATTGTTCCTGTGGTGCTCGAGAAACAATCAAGCGTTTTCTCTTTGATTGTAATCAAAATCATGTTGCCAGACAAAAAATGCTAACTGAGCTTAAACTTGGTCCAAATCCCTCCTTGTTCGATCTATTTCCCTCCGATACGCGTATACACACTACAGCACACACTTACACTTCTAGTGAGAGCTATGATGTATTTTTATACGGTTGAACTCACTTAAATAAATAAAGTTTATATCAACAAAATCAGATTTCATCTTAATAAATATTTGTATTTGACAAAACGCTCCCGTCACTCGAAAACAAAGGCAATTCAACTGTAAATGACCATCCAATCTCTCCATAATCATGAAGATAAGCGAGGACTCCATAAAGAACCCTTACCTAAGGACCTTAAATCTCTTTTACCAAATCTAAAAATACTATAAGATTTTATACATTATTTAGCGAAACATAATATAGCAAGTTCTATGATAATTGATCCTGTACAACCCAGCGCAGCGACAAATGGTCTCCAGATGTGCAAATCTCTAATAGGTCTTATTTGTTTAGAATGACTTTTCTGTCGATTTTCAACTTCAAAAACTTTTGGAGAAAAGGATAAAACCCGATTTTACTACAAGATGCTCTGAAAAAATCTTGGAGGTCGTGAAAACGGTTTCACCGGATTTCTCGTACATTTTTACCTATGGCACTCGATTGAGTGTTGTCTGATTATTAAAATACATCATAACAGTTACAAGATCTAAAAGTCTTCTATACCGTCCGATAAAATCCACAACTATCACATAATACCACAACTGATCAAAATTTTTCCACATTCAGACTTTCACACATTAATACTTTTATATATCGAGTCACACAGTCATTTGCACATTTAGACTTACAGTCTAAAATTCTAAAATTCTAGAAGACTGTATGTCGAAATCTCTAAAAGTCTGCGAGTGTGAGGTTCTAAACGTTGAAAGGTCTAAATGTCCGAAAGTCTAAACGCGTCAAACAGCGGAACCTCATAGCAGCGTATATACATGAGCAGTCAGTTTGCCTATACTGATGCAGAAAGGAAGATCAGAAGACTCAAGACTTTTAGACGACTGACATATTAATAATCGGACAGCAATGACTCGGTTTTCATTCCTATCGAGTGAAAACTGATGATTTCATTTGAGAAACACTTGGTCGACTTTGGTCAAAACAGATCAATTTACAGTCAATTTAAAATATCCCAGAAGTGTCAAAAACAACCCGCAGTTTCGGTGACATGCACATGAAGGCTACATGTCTTCATAGAAAAAACTGGATAAGTTACAAGATCAAAAATGGGACTCTGAGGACCGACTTTGCATCAAAAAAATTGTAGTAGTAAAATTTTTTTTTGATATATTATCGAAAATCTAGACTCAGTTTTGTGTTCTGAATATGAAAAAGTTTGAAATCTTCGAATTCGTATAGTAATCAAAAGCTTAACTTTTTTCAAAACTTTTTATTTTTATTCTCCACTTATCTCGGCGTGCTCTATCCAACTATGTATAAATAAATGAAAAATAAATTGATGCAGAAATTTTGAATTATAGACATCGAACATCATTTCTAACACTACAATCATTGTCACTAATAACTGCAAAACAAAACTGTTATTACTTCTATATAACCCTAGTTAGCAACTTTTCAGTTTTTATTTAGACACACAATCAGCTGCAATTAATACATATGTAACACGAATTATTAAAGTTTATTTCATCTCACTTTAAATATAATCAAAATTATTTCAAAATATATTTTTTATAAAATTTCTGGTTCTTAACAAATTAAAATTAATAAAACAATACCAAATATCAAAATATTTCACCTCTATTGTACGGTCTGATATTTGGTATTGTTTTATTAATTTTAATTTGTTAAGAACCAGAAATTTTATAAAAAATATTTTTTGAAATAATTTTGATTATATTTAAAGTGAGATGAAATAAACTTTAATAATTCGTGTTATATATGTATTAATTGCAGCTGATTGTGTGTCTAAATAAAAACTGAAAAGTTGCTAACTAAGGTTATATAGAAGTGATAACAGTTTTGTTATTACAGTTACGGGTGACGATAATTGTGGTGTTAGAAATGATGTACGGTATCCATAAGGCAAAATTTCTACACCAATTTATTTTTCATTTATTTATATACTCTGACGTTTTAGTTCTGCCCTTCTCATGAGATCATTTTGACCATATGAAGATGCATCAGAGAAATCCAAGGAATCCGAACGAGTTGAGAGATTTTCTCTGTTTGAGAATCTCCCTAACTTACAATGTAGTTAATAAGAAAGTGCTACTGCAGCTCAGCTGTTGTAGTAGTGCTACGACAACCATTTCTGGATATCAAAATTTGAAACAGTTTTCTTGTTGTGTGTCTCAGTAAAAGTCTGTAAACAGACACTTTACTACTAAATGTTCCCATTGCTTATACAATTGAAAAAAGCATTAAGAGTAAGTTTACCCACCCCTCTTTTTTCACCTTTTTGCCAAATGCGAAGCACACGTCCGAGTTCAAATTTATAGCAAATATAGAATATCGAAAAGGAAAATCGATGTACTTTTGCCGAGAATTTTCTGTGATGTTCTTCTATGGGTTTTCCGAAAAATTCCAGTTTCCATTCAGTCACATTACCACCCATAGAAAAAATGGTCCGATGGAGCTCAGATTTTTTCCACAGATATTTGAGACCCAATCTTAGGAGTAAAAGTTTTCTTTTCGAAATATATGCTTTCCTTCTCTAGATATTAAAAAGAATCCTAAAAATCCTGTATAGAGAACCGGTTTTTTATACCGAAAGTTGAAATCGAAAACACTTAAAAAAGATTTTACTCCTGAGATATGATCTGAAGTATCTGTGGTAAAAAGTTAAGCTTGATCAGATCATTTTTTGGAGGGTTCGTAATGGGACCGGATTGAACGTACTATAGAAAAGATGCATAGTGAGAAAAACACATATTCTACGCTATTCAGTGCGTTTGTGGTGACGCTTGTATCTCCACAAAACTTCTGCAAGACGTCTCATTTTGAAGAGCAGACTGTCTTCTATCAGTCTATGAATCAGAAGAGATTTTGAATGTGTAAGAAAGGAGAGAAAAATTTACGAAACTAAAAAATTGAGATTTTTTAGGCTTTGAAGAAAAAACTTCATAACTTTTTCAAGGAAGGTCATAGAGAGTTGGGAGTGGTCTCATTTTATAGCCCAGACTTTCCTCTACATTAGCCTATGTTCGGCTCAAAATGAAAAGCTTTTTGCAAAAAAGACGGGGGCAGTACCCTTAAAAAATGTTCTCTGTTTAAAAGAATATACACAGACAAAAATGCCATAACGCAAGTCGACGTGACAGGACTGTATTGGCCATATAGCCACGTTATAAAACGTTCATAAAACACAATTATATCCTGTCACAACTGTACGAATTTCTCGAAGAAGAAAAGTAAATCCTTTCCACTCGGAAATTTATCCTTGAAATCGGCTGATCACAACTATATAGGGGGAAGCAAAAAGAAAAGCTAAAAGCACATTCATATCTTCTTTATTCAAGGTCGTGATATTTTCACGCTTGGATGATCCTTCTTATAGAAAAAATAGAGTCCATACTCCCACTTTCTTTTGGATAATTAGCTTTTCTCTTTACATAAATTTCGACAGTTTTTTCTCTTAGTGAAATAGTCGAATTTTATTCTCTGTTCCACTTTAAGATATCGCTAGAACTAGAGAAAGTAGGACTCATATAGGCGACGCTTACTTTCATTAATAAAGATATATTTCTTGTATAACAGAAAAAACGTTAATACAATAATAAACACATGACTCTCTATGAATAGATAGTAAAGTATTATTAATGATTCTCTTATATTTCATATATTTGTTCTTTTTTTAGAGTCTAGCAAAAAATGGCAAAATTTTTTTTATTTATTCTGTTTGTGATTATGATCTCATTCATCAATTCTCAAAGTTCTAATAGTCAAAAAACATATGATGCGACAAATAAAAAAATGGAAAAGAAACTATTAAAATTTTTAGATACATTAAAACCGGGTATATGTTCGAATATCATATTAAATAAAACAAAAACAAATTTATTTTCACCAAAATTAATTGGTCGACTTTTACCACAAGGTACATTTAGTACACCAATACAGGCATTTGAATATTTATATGGCATATTTTGTCAAATACAAGGTTTATTAGTAAGAACAAATAGTGTTCAATCAACAGAATTAAAACAAATTACATTTGATCAAAATAAATATTTATGTGGTGCTGAAATAATTTTAGTATTAGCTCCAAAAAATATTAGTTTAACATTTTTTGCATTTGTTGCATTTGATAGTCAATTTAGAATATGTGGTTATGATGCACAAGTAAGAAATAATGGACTTACATTTGATGATCCATCATCAACAGATGCTGCAACAATTCAAGGACTATGTCAAGGTATTCAACAAATATGTAAAGGTCGTTATCAACAGTATTCAAATCGTAGTGATTGTATTAATTTTATGACAAAAAAAATTCCATATGGTACATTTGATCAAGGTGATCAAGATAGTGTTACTTGTCGAACAATTCATATTAAGTTAGCATCAATATCACCAGATATACATTGTCCACATGTAGGAAAAACAGGAGGTGGAGCATGTACAAATAAAACATCACAATCCTACTATAAAAATGATAATTATATGAAATGTGCATATAAACGACCTGAATAGTAATTATCAAGAGAATATGCACTCGTATATTGTATTTATCGTATATTAATTTATTTTTATTACTTTTAATTTGTCATATTCTTCTCGTTGTTTTTTGAATAAATTACTTTAACAATTCATCATTGTAAATATGTGACCATCTCTTTGTTACCATTATATTCGACATATAAAAGAAGATAATTTTTAAACATTTTTATACATTCACTCGACTGTACTTTAATCTTAACAGTTTTATCAAACATTTAAAATATTTCAGACAATATTTTGATTAAAAAAATTCTTTTATAATCACATTTCTTTACTTTTAAAACTTCAATTTTAGCTTGAACGAGCGAACAATTTTAATTTTCAAGATTTCAATAACAATGAATTTAATTACAGGTTAAAATAAAATGATTAATAAAAGAATACCTTTTTCATATTGTTATCCGTTGAGAAAAATGACTATTAGAATGAGTCACACTCACTAATTATCACTGTAACAAATGATAGTGTGTGATGAAAGTTAAAGTTGTATAAGTTTAATAATTCAAGTGCAAAATTTATGAACACAAAGATAATGAATGAGTTATTTTCTATAGATTTGGGTACTTTCAATTTTTTTCGTTAATCACTAAGAAAGGTTACACTAGTTAACCGAAACGTCTATCGGATGACCCAGATAGAATGGGGGACTTTGATGGTTGTTTTTGAGGCACTGTCCGGTAGTTCAAAGAGTTAAGCTCAATCAATAGAGAATTGAATTCTCTATAAAATCTACTATTTTAACCCTTTGAGTCCCATAGTAGCAAAAAAGCTACACATGTTTTATAATTATTTTTCACAACTTAATTTATAAAAATTATTACGTAATCTCTTGGAATGAAGCAATGGAGCATTAATTAATAAATAGCAAATACACTTATGTGACACTGTCTGTAAAATATACTAGGAGAAAACGATTTTATTAAACCAAATATATTTAATTTATCTAAGAATCATATAAGTCTTCGTAGTTTTCATTCTTTTCTTAAGAGTTCGAACTATCATTTACATCCCATTATATTTACCGAAGTGTCGGCTTCAAAAGTATAACTCGCTTTTTTTCAAATTTTGTTTCGTTGCTGAGAAAATTCATTTTTTCTAAATCAGTAGCGAAAAAGTCGAAATTCCGTCCGTAGTTTTCAATTTTCTCTATCAGAACTCAACTTCTATATAATAAAAATATCATATTTAGAATCAGGATCAAAAACTCAGTCTACTGATCTGTATTTCAAAATTTTTAGCTGATATCAGTTTTGGGTGGAAATCTTGATGATTTTTCAACGTGAAAATTCGAAAAAAACTAAAGTACTCGAATAGGATAGGGATACACATCAGTCGATTCATTTTTTCATCCTAATTTCGAATATGATATTTTTATTGCATAAAAGTTGAGTTCTAGTGGAGAAAATTGAGAATTACGAATTACATTCAAACCAGCAAAAAAAATTTGGGACTCAAATGGTTAATCTCTGATAGCATTTTTCTTGTTTGAATACCATTCAAAAGATCGAATGGTGCTAAGCTGTTGGACTGTGATACATCGAAAATAGAGAAATGTTTGCTTTGATCCAAAAACAGATTCCATAAGAATTTAGAAAACATCAGACGATTCATAGGAGAATTCTGCATCTCTTCACATATTTTTCAAAATTTAGCAGCCAAGTCTTCGATGAAAATTTTTCTGTGCAATAAACTGATAAATCTAAAACAATCTAAGTTTTGAATCCATTTTGCACAGACTTTAGTCTTTTAGCAATGAAAGTAGTAAGACGTTCAAAATCGAGGGTTTTAGTCTTTAAGAGGATTAAATTCTGCATCTTGATATGTAAACAAAGTTTCTCAATTGAAACCATTAATTAAGAAAATTAATTTAATTTGAGAAAATGAAAAACCAGTTGAGAACTAATTATAAGTCCAGTTGGTGTAGCGAAAACATTGTATGAAATTGTAAATGAGTGAGATCGTTAGATCACAAAATTCTCTATCCTTTTATCTACAGTACTTGTCAAAAGTACCGGGGGGGGCGGGGGGGGGGGCGGGGGGGGGGGGGGGGGGGGGGGG